CGCAACGCCCCAGCGTCGCGCGCCGAGCCCGAAGAGCAGGTTGGGCGCCAAGAAGCCACCATTGCTCTGGAGGTCGCTCGGGGGGACGCCACCTGCGCCCGCACTGCGGCAAGGGAGGCGGCGAGCAGGTCGCGCGGAACGGCTGAACTATTGCACCCACCGGTCGGGCAACAGCGCCCCCCCCCCCCCGAGAAAAAAAGCCGCAGCCAGGCACAACCCCGACCTAGAAAGCTCAACCACAAGGTTTGAAACAACTACAATCCATGAAAACGCACCCCCGAAGACCGAGGTCGGGATGGGTCGAAACAAGGCCTGGGCAATCTGGGGTGCCCCACTTCGTCCGCGGACCACGCGCGCGCAACGCCATCGGAGGCGGGCCCGGGCAGCTCGTCGCCAGGGCGCTAGAAGGCCCCATGCACAAAGAGGGCGCACTTATAGTCGACAGCTGAAGTGTCCAAAGCAAGGGCGAGGACGTCTTCTGGGACGAGGCGCGCGCGCTTCTCGGCGCACGCTGGGCGCTGTCAGAGCCTATGCCAAAGCGAATCGTCGCGCAGACCGCGCAGCTCGCAGGCAATAGGGGCGGCGTATCCAGCGTTCTTGGCGGCCAACCTGGCCCAGATGGCGCTGCTGGCGATAGCCCGCATGGTGGACTCATCCTGAAAATTGACCTCAGAAGAACGGTGCACGTCACGAACAATAAATATCCCAGCAGAGCCTGCGGGGGATTCCAAACTTGGGGCCCGAATCCCTTTCCAACCCCCCGACGACGGCAGCTTCGGCAAGTCGGGCAACCAGCTTGGGGGGGATACTGAGAAGATTCAGAGGGGGCGCCCCCTATCGCCAAAAAACTCACAGAACGACTTCATGGTCCAACCGAGCCTGCAGAGGGCCGTCCTGAAAGCGCTGAGGGGCCCCGAGACCCTAGCCCAAGACCGACCACCTCTGCGAAAAATAAAGGCCCGCGCGTCACGGATAAGCATGAAAGAGAGGGGCCAAGGGAACTGCCTGGTCTGCGTCAGCCACAACTCCTTAGCGCAACGAACCAGGGGAGCTAGGCTGACGCGCCAAGGCGGGTCGCCTTCCAATAAAGAGACCACAGCCAATGAACGGCGTTGCGACTTAGGAAAAGTCGTAGACATGCCCAAGGACCGAAAGAAGTGCGGCTCCGCATCACTGATGCCGAATACCTCAGCACCATAGGCGCCGCTGGCGAGAGGACCCGCAGCAAAGATACGGAGGGGCTTCCTGCCCCAGACGCCCCCTTGCCTGCCCCGTGAGCGCGCAAGGCGGGGCCCGCGGTGCAGTCCACGCTTAAGTTGACAACGGGCAGAGCCGAGGCGCCAGCCAATTCGACAAGCTGCAGCTCGAGCGACTGGGCGACCTTCCCGCTGCTGCCCACCAGCCCAATCTTGTCCATGGCCAAGAGCAGCCGAGGATTTCGGTGATGGCGCGAAGCAGGCCGCGAGCACTGGCAACTAGGCCTGAGACCAGATCATCTGGGTGGCGAGTCCGAGAAATCCCTGCGAATCGATATAGGCATCGAAATCAGTCCCGACCTGGAAGGGAAGACCGTCGAACGCGGACATAGCAAAACTCTGGTGAAGCTCGTCGCCATCGAGCAGCTAGCTACAACCCCGGAGCTGGCCCAAAAGGGCCCACCGAAGACCCCCCAAACGACGAGAACCGAACCGATCCGTAGGCCTCGAGACAGACACGGGCGATGCAACGAGGGAAATGATGCACCTCGCACTGATGCTCCAAATACGCAAGGGAGATGCTTTCGTAATATTTCTCCATGTCCCCCCCAAAAAAAACCCAGACACAGGATTGGAAACGACTGCAGACTCGGCCTCGGCAGCCTGTCGCCACGCGACGTCGCCCGCACCTCGGCGCGCCCCTGCAGCCCCGCCGGGGGGCCAGAGGTCGACGGGCCCTGCCCCAGACGCGGCGCCAGGAAAAGAACATGCCGATCGGCCGGAAGCCCCAGCGCGTCTCAGGCGGCATCGTTCAAGGTGCTGATGTGCCTGAGGTGGAATCCATCCACGGGAACAGCACTGGCCTTCCTGCACGGGGGCCAGCCGAGGCAAGGCTTCGATGATTTCCACGGGACCAGCACCTGAGCCTTCACCTGGCCCCAAAGCTCGCTGAACTCAAGAACCCCCGCCTGGAGCAGGGAGCGAGGGCCCGCGCGAATCCAACTGCGGACGAGGGTAGCGGCAGCCTGCCAAGCCACCGGGCCACGGAGGGCCAAGTGGACCCGCTTGCCTCCAGAGCCCAGGCCCCCACGGAGCCAGTCGCTCAACGAAGCCCCGCTGACGGCCACGGCGCCAGCCTGAGCGCGCAAGACGACCGGAGAGAGAACATCGCAGCGAAGAAGTCATCGCACTCCTGCAGAGCATCATCAAAATCGCGAGGGTCGGGAGCGGCAGCAGCCACGCTCGCCGCCCGCTGGGAAAGTCCCAGATGCTCGCCAACAGCAGCGGCAGCAGAGGAGGGCGGCGACTTGAGAGACGCCACAATGTCGAGAAGCTCGCTGCCACGGGTCTCGCCAGCCTTGAGGATTGAGAGGAGAGCCCGAACCTGACCGTCAAGCCACATGAGGCCTCGGAGAGCGGGACCCTTGGGGGGCTTGAGGGGCTCGACAATATGCTTCTAATAACTTTCAACTGGCCGACCTCGAGACCCGCGCATCGGCAAGTCGCAGCCGGACAGTCGCTCCAAGTCGAGTTCGGCCTGGTCGAGCCGAGCTGGCGCGCCAGCGGCAACAGAGAAACGGCGCTCTCACCGTCGCCTCTCACAACGGCCCTCTTCGCCCCCCCCCCACCCACCCACCCACCCACCCCAACCCCCCACCCCCACGGACCCACCCACCCACCCCACCCCACCCCACCCCACCCCGCGCAGTCGAGGACCGCTGCCCATTTCTGGCCCCGCATCTCGGGAGCAGGCCCACAGGGGGCGAAGGAGGCAAACGGGGAGGCTCGCGGACAGCGAGAGCCTTCAGATGAAGCAGCTGAGGATGGAAACGGAGACCCCACGGGCCTGCGGGGGCGCAACGCGGAGCCTTCGAAAGAAATCCGAAGACGATGTTCCTGGACCAGGAGGATGTAAGCATCATATTCCGACTCCAGGAAGCCCAGCAGAGCGTCCCAGGAGTTGACGTTGACCGTCCGGATACTGAGGACCACGTTCTCAGCCAGGGCCAGGACTCGAGGAGACCAGGGGCCTGGGACCTTGGACTCTGGAGGCAACTGAGCTGGCGTCAGGGGCACAGGCTTCGACTGCACAAACACGGGGAACAGGCAGGGGCACTGGCCCTTCGCACTGGCGACTCTCTCAGAAGAGAAAGTAGCCGAGGCCGAGGTACACGACGAACCCAGCTGAAGAGCACCGAGATGTGCCACAGCTCCCCTCAGGTCGAGGCCGCCTCCAGGCGCGGCGGCGGTGCCCCGGGCCGCCAGAGAACCAGCGGCGGCGCTGGGGCAGCCCAAGGGGGCTGCAGCCGCATGCCCAACCAGGCCTGGGCACACTGACGGAGCCGACGAGCAGGAAGTAGAAAAGGAGAGCCAACTGCAGACGCGCCTATCATTCAACACACCGTCACGCCACCGCTGGCGCAGCGCAGGGGGACACCCCTGACACTTCACGCTCGACCTGCTTCCTGATGTCTTCCGTGGGGGATGCGTGCTCGGCGGCTGCAGAAGGCACGGTGGAGACACCTGCCGACTCTGGTGAACCTGCACCTCCACTAGAACGAGGAGTCACCATCAGCAGCCGAAGGAGGAGCACCGCCAGCGAGTGCACCTTGTTCCGCCTTACGCTTCTTCCTAGTGGGCTTGGCCTTGTGGGCCTCATGACTGGCTTT